GTTAGTATAGCGTAATAATAATGTCTATAGAAAGTAATACTATTACAATGCGTGATATTATGAAATCTAAAATCTAAATCACACTTTTACTACTGCATCGACATAAATATCCTTAATAATCTAACCACTAAATATAGTCTGTACGCTATTGTTTAAAATGTACGTTACTGTTTAAGACTGAAAACATTTTAGATGTTAAATGCAAAACTAGAACTTAAATATACACTTAGCTGTTCTTTTATGTAACCCTGCTTCAAACAGTAGCAGCGCGAGGAGGTCTAGCATCTCTGTACTGTCTGTCGGCGATCCAGGCTTAGAAATGGGGGTGAAGCAGCACGGGGCTCAAGCCACATCCACGCTGGGGCACTCTATGTGTAAGACAAATCAATCCTACTGGGGACACTTGTCCATGGGACATCCGTCCATAAGATAGTGGCACAAGAGAACACTACTAGGACCTTGAAAAATAGTCCATACCTTGGACACTTGTCCGTAAGACAATGTCCGTCCGTAAGACCCTAAGAACACGAAACTCTTGTTTAAAATCAAACACCGATACTTCCGAGGGCTCAATAAATAATAAACAATCTGTCCTTTCTTCCAAATGACATTCTGGAGGACAAAAGCAAAGGGACGCCAACGTGCTAGCCAAATACAAATACAAGTTGGGACATCCGTAACTCTACCCTAAAAATATTCACTAATAATATCGAATCTAAAAGGAAAATAACTCAGCTTTACCTGTAGCTTCGAAATGGCAGCTGATTCAGATAATACAGCCAGATTTAAATGACCACCATTTCTCAACACTGGGACTAATGGCGTCTAAGAGGCCAAACGGTCCAACCAAAAGTGAAGTTAGATCCCAGAGAATTGACAGAAGCGATGTTGACAGCGCGCGCTCCCACAGAGCGATACCAGGGTTGTGTCAAACAATAACAGGGTTGTACCAAACAATAACAGGGTTGTGCCCAGACATCATATATCATAATCAAAGACATGTAACGAACTAAAAACGTTACAACTCAATGGATTTACCATTAAGTTTTCATTCCAAAAGCACCATAATGTCATATATTATACTGAGTAGTGTTTCAAATAAAATCATTTTAAAACTAAATTTACTGCTTATTTAAAGCCTTCTTAAAATTCCAAATTCGAAGAATTTTTTTTAACAGGAACTATCTACTGTATAACAGTGCCTTCTTCAAAATTCGGTCTACCATAATTTGCAATCTTGTTTGATATATACAGGGCGAGTCAAAAACTAAATGTTGTATTTTTCTCAGTATCTTAAATGGAACACCCTGTATTTTGTATCATAATCGAACAAGGTTTTGATTAATCTTTTTGTTTTGTTAAGTACTTACTATACCTAAAATCGATATTTAATAAGAAAATTGTGTTTTTTTGAAAATATAAGACATGATAAGACTTTCAAAACAACAATATCAAATACGTCGGGTATTTCAAAAACCAAGAGCGCTAGAACAAATCTGTGTGTAGCATCTTTATTTTAATAAAAAAAACCTGACACCCACGCATTTAAGCAAATACTGGTATACACATAGGAATATACTTTACCAGCTTGCAAAAAAAAACAAAAAAAAAAGATCCTATTAATCCATTCACCAAAGACCAACAACGCATTAAAACAACATTCACATCCACAGATATAACCTAAATAGAGACACTAGCAAAAAATTCTAATGATGCCCAGTCTTACTATGCTCGCCCATTTCATTGGCGGACCAAATGACTCCGATCTCCCCTATGAATTTACATTGTGGCCAAATCCATTAGCGGCCAGATAGGCCGCCAGGGCGGCTTAATTGTGATAGGGCAAAAGGGGAAGGGGGGTCTCCAGGGCCGGCCTGATAGTTTACGTGGCGTTCATCAGTTCATTCAAAGAGGGAGATATATGTCTAGTTAAAACTATTTTAATTAAAATGTAGAAACATTTGACTTAAGGGTGGGAGTGCGTCAGGGATGTATTTTATCTCTTTTCAACCCCATCATATTTTTCAGATTAATCAACCATTTCCAATTATGGTTACGCCAATTATACCCATCGCAGATTTGGCTTCCTCTAGGTCTCTGAATTCCTCGTGGGTATCATGCTGTAATTCTTATGGTCCATCTCTTGTCCATCCTTCTTGCCAGTTGTCCGTCCTATCCATTGCCACTTAAGGGGTTTGATTCTGTGGATGATATATATTACCTCGATCTTTTATCGTATCTAACAAGAAGCTGTCTAGCGATGGGATATATACCAACCACATGGAGAAGAGCAAAAGTAATCTTCATACCCAAAATAGGCAAAACTGACTGGACAAATCCCAAGTCATTTAGGCCTATTAGTCTCACATCGTTCATACTAAAAACCTGTACAACACTGTACCAATTAACGGAGCTAATACAGACAAGTCTGGATAGCAAAGAAACAGCAATTTGTGCCTTCTTGGATATTGCGGGGGCGTTTGACAATATACCACATAAGGTGGTCAGGCGATCTCTAGAAACAAGAGGGGTGAACAGAACTATTATTCGCTGGTTTTGGGAAATGCTGTCAACACGAACAGCAGAGGCTCAGATGGGCACCAAAACTGTAGCTGTTAAAACAACGCAAGGAACTCCACAAGGTGGAGTAACCTCCCCTTTGCGGTGGAGCTTGGTGGTGGATGAACTACTAGACGAATTAACTCTAGCGGGAATACAATGCATTGGGTATGCAGATGACATAGTCATGATCGCTCGGGGGAAACATGAAGGCACCTTGTGTGATATTATCCAAAGAGGACTCCGTATCACTGAGAGATGGTGTAGAACTGTCGGGCTGAGTATCAACTCAGACAAAACCGCGATAGTGCCATTCACCAGAAAGCGAAGTCTGAAAAACTTGAAAAGAATCCAACTAGATGGAAAGGAAATACTGCCAACACAGGAAGTTAAATACCTGGGAATAACCCTGGACAGTAAACTCCTGTGGAACAGGCATATTAAGAACACTACCAGCAAAGCCATAAAGGCTCTCATGATATGCAGAAGACTGGCCGGAAATAGATGGGGCTGCTCCCCTAACATTTTGCGCTGGATGTATACCATGATAGTAAGACCCATGATTACTTATGGAGCAGTTGCCTGGTACACAAAACTAGAGCAACGGACGGCAACGGTCCAACAGCAGCAATGGAGGTCATTCTAGATCTAATACCACTGCACATTGTCATTGGTAGATATGCCAATGCGACAATGATTAGAATGGTCACTAACGGAATTAGTACTGGGAGAATTGTCAGATCAGGGGCTTGGAACACCCTCAAAAAGGAAATACCACTCCTGGGACGATATATGGACTCCCAGTGGACGATATGCCAAGAACGTACAACTTTGAGAAACATCTCAATGTAGTATTGAGCAATAAAAAGGATTGGAAGAGCGAAACGCTTGCCCAGCAATTAAAAGACCATACCATAACTTGGTATACTGATGCTTCCAAAACCAATACGGGAACAGGGATCGGAGTGTTTGGGCCGAGAGCTAAATACTCCGAACCAATGGGCACTTACCCTAGTATCCTACAGGCAGAAATCTACGCTATCGAAAGATGCGTACAACTTATCTTAGATAGGAACTATCGGAAACAAGAAATAGCCATCTTGTCTGATAGTCAAGCAGCGTTAAAAGCGATCAACTCAGTATCAATCAATTCGAAATTGGTCAAAGAATGCATTAGAAGCTGAATAAATTAGGCAAAGAAAACAAAGTCCTCCTACTCTGGATGCCTGCTCACCAAGGGATAGAAGGCAATGAAAAAGCAAATAATCTAGCTAGGAAAGGAGCGAACACTCCACTAACTGGACCAGAACCGTTCTGCTTTCCAAGTGGTAACCAACTCAAGGCGGAACTCAAGAACTTGGAAGATTCTATCCGCAACCTGGAATGGAAATCTTGCAACGGTCTAAGACATTCGAAGAAGTTTCTGAGGGCTTATGATCAAGAAAAATCACAGATCTTCCTGGGTTTAAGTAAGAACAAACTTCGGATTGTCACGGGGTTTTTAACAGGACACTGTCTCTTCAATGAACACCTCAGTAGATTGGAACTAAGAAGAAACGGCGAATGCAGATTCTGTGGGGAAGATGGGGAAACACCAGTACACCTTATCACTGAGTGCGCCGAGACGACAACCATTCGTGCCATGAATTTTGGTACGACTGATATTGGAGATGGAGAACTACCCTCTATAAAACCGTCCCAGATACTGGCTTTTGTCAAAGCCCTGGGACTGTATGATGAGTTATGACTCAAGAAAGGGGGACACAATGGATCTGTAAGGTCGCAGTGATTAACCCCCCTCCCACTCATTCTAAATTCTGAAATTCTAAAATTTATCGTATCTATTCTATTCTTTTACGGTCTTTCTTGGTTATTTCCAGCATATTTCTTACCATTGAGGATTGTGCGACCTGCAGTTTTCTTATAATGTCCGTTTTAATTGATCTCATCTATATATCAGTCTATTTTGTAATAAAATTTAAAAAAAAACACTGTGTCTATATAATAAAAATGTCAAAATTTTTCCAGATAAAAAATAAAAAAGGTAGAAAAGCCAGAAACCATATACTTTTCTCACAGAGAGACCTAACCAACAAAAATTTAAAAATTAAGATATTTTGCGGTTTAAATCACCTACGGACACTTAAATGAAATGGTAAATTTTTAAATACCATAAACTGTACTTACTAATTAACAAATCAAGAACAAATCATAAATTGAAGAATTTTGGTTTTTCGGGTTATTAGGCCGTCGTCGGTTAGAATTGCTTCCTAACGTTTCGCTAGCACGAGTGGCTAGCATCTTCAGAGGTGTGTTTGCTCCGATTGCTCACACTAGACTGATGCCTCCGCGTCGGCGTAGCGCGTATTTATGCGTCGGCGGAGGGGGCGTGGCTTGTTCGGGTGGTAGTTCTTCCGGAACTGGTCTACTTCTCTGTGCTGCTACTTTGGTCCTAGAGTCCTAGATATAGCTGGATGCCAAATTCTGTTAAGGTAGAAAGTTTCTTCCTTCCTGTTGAAATTATTTGGATGTTTGTGAATTTCAACAGCTTCCCTGACCAGACGAGGATGATATCCAGATGTTGTGGCAATGACTTGGGTGTCTTCGAATTGGATTTTGTGGTCACCATCTCTTAGAGCATGTTCTGCTACGGCTGACTTCTTTGTTTGCCCTAATCTGCAGTTTCTCTTGTGTTCCGTAAGTCTCGTTCCTACTGAGCGTTTGGTAGTTCCAATATATACGCTACCGCAGGAACAAGGTATACGGTAGATCCCTGCAGAGGATAATGGTTCTCTTTTGTCTTTTGCTGGTCTTAAGCAGTCCCTTATTTTTCGGGTAGGTTTGTATATGGTTTTGATGTTATGCTTCTTGAGAACTTTACCAATCCTATCGGTGACCTGGGAAACATATGGAAGGAAGGCCTTATTAATGATGTTTTCCTGTTCATTGGCGTCAGGTCTCCTCTGCCTAGGTGCCAGCGCCGCCTTTATTTCTCTGTCATTATAGCCATTGGCAAGAAAGGCTTTATTTAAATGACTTAGTTCCTCTTGGATGTGTTCATTAGCACAGATACGTCTTGCCCTATTTGCTAATGTTCCGATAATCCCCTGTTTTTGGCTTGGATGGTGATTTGATAGTTTGTGTAAGTACCGGTCTGTATGAGTGGGTTTTCGATACACGGTGTGATCCAAAAGGTCGCCATTTCTCTTGACAAGCACATCGAGGAAGGCCAGTTGGTTGTTTACTTCGGTTTCCATGGTAAATTTTATGCTCGGGCTCTGCGAATTAAGGTGATGAAGGAAGTCATCTAGGCTGTCACGTCCATGTTTCCAAACCACAAATGTATCGTCCACATAACGAAACCATACAGCGGGCTTCAGAACGGATGACTCTAGCGCTTTTTCTTCAAATCTCTCCATAAAGAAATTAGCAATTATTGGGCTGATTGGGCTACCCATTGCGACACCTTCTGTTTGTTCGTAGTAATTGCCGTTCCATAAGAAATAGCTACCAGTCAGACACACTCGGAAGAGCTCCGCGATGTCAGGTGGGAATGATTCCTTGATTAGATCCATTGACTCGCCTAGGGGTACTCTCGTGAATAGAGATACCACATCGAAGCTTACCATGATGTCAGATGGTTCCAGTTTTATATCTTTTAGCTTTTGGACGAAATGCGTTGAGTCCTTCACATAAGAGTTTGTGTTGCCGACTTTCGGTTGTAGGATCGTAGTCAAGTATTTAGCTAAGTTGTAAGTAGGCGATCCTGGAGCACTCACTATCGGTCTAAGTGGGACACTAGCTTTATGAATTTTTGGTAGTCCATAAAGGCGTGGTGGTTGAGCTTCCGAGTTAATTAATTTTGATTTCAGATGTTCCGGGAGTGAGGAGGCCTTGATGAGTCTGTTGGTGTTTCTGACAATTAAGGCAGTAGGATCCTTCTTCAGTAACTTATAAGTCTGGGGCTCCAGTAGATCCTCGATTTTGGACCTATAATCCTCAGACTTCATTACTACCGTAGCATTCCCCTTGTCTGCCGGTAAGACCAGAATGTCCTTGTCAGCATTCAGCGATTTTAGAGCCTGATGTTCTTCCCTCGACAGATTACTTTTTGGAGCCTTAGCAGTTCTCAATATGTTGACCGTTTCAAATCGGATTTCGTCTGCGATACTGTTAGGAAGGTTACGTATGGCAGCTTCTGTTCCGGCAATAATGTTGTAATTTATATCCTTACCGCCAACATGCAACCTGTAGACTGGGACAAGATTGACGGAATAACATACCAAAATATGCAAAATGAATTGGAAAGAACATCAGCTCGCCAGAAGATCAAATATGAAAAACTGCAACCAAAAACCAAGCCGGAATATAGGATATCTCTTGAACCTGCTCGAACCGTGGTGAATCTCACAGATAAGACCCTTACGACATCAGAAGTAACATTATTAGCGAAGGGAGGAAACTTTGCCATAACACCGAAAGTGGTTCCAGTGGAAGACATTATTGCCGGAACAGAAGCTGCCATACGTAACCTTCCTAACAGTATCGCAGACGAAATCCGATTTGAAACGGTCAACATATTGAGAACTGCTAAGGCTCCAAAAAGTAATCTGTCTAGGGAAGAACATCAGGCTCTAAAATCGCTGAATGCTGACAAGGACATTCTGGTCTTACCGGCAGACAAGGGGAATGCTACGGTAGTAATGAAGTCTGAGGATTATAGGTCCAAAATCGAGGATCTACTGGAGCCCCAGACTTATAAGTTACTGAAGAAGGATCCTACTGCCTTAATTGTCAGAAACACCAACAGACTCATCAAGGCCTCCTCACTCCCGGAACATCTGAAATCAAAATTAATTAACTCGGAAGCTCAACCACCACGCCTTTATGGACTACCAAAAATTCATAAAGCTAGTGTCCCACTTAGACCGATAGTGAGTGCTCCAGGATCGCCTACTTACAACTTAGCTAAATACTTGACTACGATCCTACAACCGAAAGTCGGCAACACAAACTCTTATGTGAAGGACTCAACGCATTTCGTCCAAAAGCTAAAAGATATAAAACTGGAACCATCTGACATCATGGTAAGCTTCGATGTGGTATCTCTATTCACGAGAGTACCCCTAGGCGAGTCAATGGATCTAATCAAGGAATCATTCCCACCTGACATCGCGGAGCTCTTCCGAGTGTGTCTGACTGGTAGCTATTTCTTATGGAACGGCAATTACTACGAACAAACAGAAGGTGTCGCAATGGGTAGCCCAATCAGCCCAATAATTGCTAATTTCTTTATGGAGAGATTTGAAGAAAAAGCGCTAGAGTCATCCGTTCTGAAGCCCGCTGTATGGTTTCGTTATGTGGACGATACATTTGTGGTTTGGAAACATGGACGTGACAGCCTAGATGACTTCCTTCATCACCTTAATTCGCAGAGCCCGAGCATAAAATTTACCATGGAAACCGAAGTAAACAACCAACTGGCCTTCCTCGATGTGCTTGTCAAGAGAAATGGCGACCTTTTGGATCACACCGTGTATCGAAAACCCACTCATACAGACCGGTACTTACACAAACTATCAAATCACCATCCAAGCCAAAAACAGGGGATTATCGGAACATTAGCAAATAGGGCAAGACGTATCTGTGCTAATGAACACATCCAAGAGGAACTAAGTCATTTAAATAAAGCCTTTCTTGCCAATGGCTATAATGACAGAGAAATAAAGGCGGCGCTGGCACCTAGGCAGAGGAGACCTGACGCCAATGAACAGGAAAACATCATTAATAAGGCCTTCCTTCCATATGTTTCCCAGGTCACCGATAGGATTGGTAAAGTTCTCAAGAAGCATAACATCAAAACCATATACAAACCTACCCGAAAAATAAGGGACTGCTTAAGACCAGCAAAAGACAAAAGAGAACCATTATCCTCTGCAGGGATCTACCGTATACCTTGTTCCTGCGGTAGCGTATATATTGGAATTACCAAACGCTCAGTAGAAACGAGACTTACGGAACACAAGAGAAACTGCAGATTAGGGTAAACAGAGAAGTCAGCCGTAGCAGAACATGCTCTAAGAGATGGTGACCACAAAATCCAATTCAAAGACACCCAAAGTCATTGCCACAACATCTGGATATCATCCTCGTCTGGTCAGAGAAGCTGTTGAAATTCACAAACATCCAAATAATTTCAACAGGAAGGAAGAAACGTTCTACCTTAACAGAATTTGGCATCCAGCTATATCTAGGACCAAAGTAGCAGCACAGAGAAGTAGACCAGTTCCGGAAGAACTACCACCCGAACAAGCCAGCCCCCTCCGCCGACGCATAAATACGCGCTACGCCGACGCGGAGGCATCAGTCTAGTGTGAGCAATCGGAGCAAACACACCTCTGAAGATGCTAGCCACTCGTGCTAGCGAAACGTTAGGAAGCAATTCTAACCGACGACGGCCTAATAACCCGAAAAACCAAAATTCTTCAAACGATGGCCGCGAAAGCCTAAACTACTACAAATCATAAATTAATCAAACTATACCCGGATGGCCCTATAAAAAGTAAAGAGTAGGGTCGTACTTAACTTTTTTTATAATTATTGGGTCCCTATGAGTTTCCACATGTACAACAACCTTTAATTAAGCCATAAATATATTAGTAAAATTAAATCAACTAAATAATTAATAACATTACACAGGGTGGCCCATCGAAAACGTTCCGCAAGGCATAACGACCAGAGTATTTTTTTTTAAAAAAATCCAAAAACACGTCGAATTTGTTTGTGAGGGGGACAACTTTTGCAAGAAAAATGATTGAAAAATCTTCAACCCTCTAAGCGGGGGTGTCATCCCCCAACATTTTTCAAATAGGAAGGGGGGTCAAGTGGCGCCGCAATGAAAAGAGCTTTCTATTCTCTATATTTCCTCGCTTCGTTTTTGAAAATCGGTCGAGTCATGGAGAAAATATGAAGGATTGAAATTTGAAAAGTTTATTTAAACCTTTATCAAAAAAAACAACCATTGGATACAATATGCATTTATTTAATGTAAAGTTCACAGTGTATAACAATTTTGGGGAATGCCAAGACTTAACGGTTTACTTAAAGAAGTACTTACAGGAACATCTTCACTCTGCGCTGTCCTCTGCTAACGGACTGATAACGCGAATTACTGACCGTAATAATGCGACTCACATCAACGGACTAACTTCTCGACGCTCTTCAGCATACATTTTTATATTTTCTATCCCTCGTGGTCATCGCCGGTTACGTCGTTCAATCTGTTTTCATCTAATTACATTCACCCGGCTATGAATCGAACTTTGGTAGCCTGCGTTTGATTATCGACCCGAGATTGTTGTATTTTAATTGTTTAATTATTAATGTTATTTAAAAACATATCTGGGTCGATGTCATGCAGGTAACCGATCTCTTGGGCCTATATCAATTTGTTTTTTCCCAATTTGATCTAAACCCAAGTTGACATCTATTTAAGTCTTGACAATATCATTAAACTGACCTACAATAGGATTTCCAAAAATACCAAACCACACGTTCAATTTCTGAGGGTTTTGTGTGTGCACCTCGTGAAAAACCCTGGGGTTGTCCTCAGCCCAGTACCGACAGTTGTGCCGATTAACTACACCGTTCAAAAAGGAACTCATCCGAAAAACACACATTAAATAGGAAATTATTATCATTCGCCACTCGTTCACTCATAGTTTCACAAAATAGCAAGTGACGATCAAAATTGTCTTTGTTAAGTTCTTGCACCAACTGAATTTTGTACGGGTGGAACTTGTGTTTTTTTAATATTCTTTGGACACTTGTACGATTCACGCCTATCTCATTGATTAATTTTTTTGTACTCAGCGTACTATCCATGGCAACTTGGCCCAATACGAATACCTCCATAGCTTCATTTACTACAGGATTTTCCCCTTTTTCCTCTTTTTATTCATAACGGAACCAGTTTCGCGAAATTTTTCTACTAACTCGCGAACAATTTTGCCATAAAGGTGTTTGTCAGGATAGCGTGCATTGAATATGTGCGCAACCCAATACATTCATTATTTTTAAAATAAAGTTCGATTATTTCCACTTTTTCTGCCAGTGAGTACACCATAATTGTTAAAAAGTTTAACGATATTGAGAAGAAGTTCAACGCACAAGTCACAGAACAGCTATCTAGCAACTACCGCACCTGATCGATTAACCTTGTGGCAAGTTAAAAAATGCGTAAACATCTAGAAATAACAAGAAAAAATAGCAAATTGGTCGAAGGAACTTATCCTTATCATTTACTATTTGTTTAAATAAACTTTTCAAATTTCAATCCTTCGTATTTTCTCAATGACACTACCGATTTTCAAAAACAAAGCGGGGAAATATAGAGAATAGACTTTTCATTGCGGCGCCACTTGACCCCCTTTCCCATTTGAGAAAAGTTGGGGGATGACACCTCTGCTTAGAAGCTTGAAGATTTTGCAATCATTTTTGGGGCAAAAGTTCTGTGGAAAAAATGCAAAAGGGGATAAGTCAACTTATCCCAAAACTGTTTTCATTGCGCCATCAAGCTCTTAGATGTCATAGGCATCTTCCCAACAGAAAAAATGATAAGTATACTTATAAAAACTGCAAGGGAAATACATCTTTCAAAAGAGATAAGTATACTTACCCTTCAAATTTTAAGATTTTTAAACAACTCTAAATTATTAAATTTGCCAAAACGGAATAAGTCGACTTAACTAAGCCCAAGTACAAAGAAAATACTTTTGCGTAATGGCATAAAGGGATATGTTGACTTATCCCCTTTTGCGTTATACTAATTTACAAGTGTGTTAAAACGGGCAGGGGAGAAATGCACTTATCGCTACTGGTATTCTTAGGTTAACTGCAAAAACGTAAAAGCGAGTATCGTTTAAAATGTCGGTTGGCAATAATAACCAAAATAAAAAATAAATGTTTTGATAAACAATCTCGTGGATATAGAATACTGCCTGAATGTGTT